ACCGCGAGAAGACCGCAAGAACAGGCATGGAGTTGAACATTGTTAATGTCTTATGTTACAACATTTGGGCTTGAGACAAAAGCTGGTACACTGTGCAACAATAATTATGCTGAAAATGTCTTTTGAATATCCTATAGAATCATTAGCCGTATGGGTGGATTGTTAACGCCTGCGTAGAGACAAGAGCGTTGTACCAGTAAGTAAAGTACGAAGTATCGGTTTAGTATGAGCAAATAATTGCGTGGGGAGAGAGCAAAGCGAGTTAGAATATTGGTAGTGATTGTCAGGGGCATGAACAGCACGTAGCTAGCGTAATCCGAGAGGGAGCGCAGAATAAGTGAAAATACATAGGTTGCTGCGAGAGAGACCAAAGATCAATTGGTGGCAGGGCAGCGGAAAGATTGGATGCAGATATTCTAAAGGAATAAAGGTTATTGAGATACGGAGTGGCTCCTAACAAGCACTGGATCATCGCATATGCATGGGGCCTATGGCCACTAGCTACTTCTGAGCAGAGATGCCGAATTTACGACGACCTACTGATGGTGGCGCTCGGAGAGACCCAGTGGCCATATGTAGCCATTGCAATCAGACGCTTGGTCACTAGTGCATGCGTATAGGGTCGCTGAGTGTATCAACAGGCCAGTGAAGGTAAGTGATAGACATTCCAGCGGAATGTGTGATGGAGAGACAAGGAGTATATCCAAGCAAGCTGAAGATCTGCGCAGAAGGGACATGGAAGATACGGAGAATTGCTGTAGTAATGAGGAAGATAAGAATCGCGGCAAATGGTGGCGCTAGGATAGAACGTATCTGTAGCCAGCAAAGGCATTCGGGTTAAACTTACTGAGAGCCAGTGTATACCTACATTGACAGAAGAAGTCAACAAACCAGCGAAGATGTGATACAAGCAATTCAAGGGGTAGGTGTTAGAGAGATAAGGAGTGACCCCTGGCGCAAAGAACAATGTTAACAACAACGACTCGTTGCAGCTGAAAGTGGTGGCATAAGTAATAGGAAGAACTGATAATGGAACTAAGGGGGAGAGTATCAACGGCTGGCAATGGCATTGCGGCGAAGCCTTAAAGCTGATTGTGGATACCTAAAGTATCTCAGAATAAGTCAACAGACTGCAAATGTATGTGACGCACGCAGTCCCAGAGAGGAGTAGAAAAGTGGTTATTGGAAAGCTGCGGATATGCGCAGCAAACACTATAGTGTGTGCGACATACACATAAGAACTGGATGGGCACTACAACTTTATTAAAGGTTGCTTACACTGAAGGTAATGTGCAAGCTACAAGCACCCTTACTTAACCGATAGTAAGCCTCGCAATACGTATTAGGTTTAGTGAACGATTAAGAGATAAAGACCACGTGAAGCAAAGAGGTGTAACCTACAGAATAGGTGGTGAGGGTAAGCTGCCGGGATACAGAATGAGCCTAGTGCTATTTAGTGGTAGGAGTGGTACCAAAATGATCCGAGAGCTGTGGCACCTTTCCTACCCTGACAGACTGGTAAGCTAATAGGTACTTGCAACACGATTGTCGACTTCGTGGCGATTTAGTACTCACTTTGTATACAAACAGGGCGGAGGAACACAGGACTATCCTGGCTATTTCATCCCGCTCTGTAACCTACTCTCCCTGGGCATCCGTTGAATTTGCACGAATCCCTATTTGATTGGGTTCTGGCTGACGCTCGTTTGCCCAGCATGGTGATAGATGCCTGGGAAATGCTACCCAAGGAAGTCGTACTGTCACACACAATGACAGAGGTTAAACGTTGCCTTGACGTCCTCAACTTGTAGCTTCGAATATTCCCTCTCTAGTTAATACTTATTTCGATCGCCCTTCAATTCCTTTCCTTCATAAGAACCCGTACTAACTTCCAACACAAATTTTGTCTCTCCCAGAGTTTATGCGGTGTCTACAATGTTGCTCATTCTTTCTTATTGCACGGTCCCGACGCAGCTGGGTCTGCTAGCGCAGAGCGCAAGGGTCTTTATTGAATACATAAATATTTTATTCTCGACAAAGCTAGGCATGCCTTTTGGGCATGGTCAGCATTTTGGCAATGTCGTGTTCCGTACCTGCCAGTTAGGCTCATAAAACTGGCCAAGCACGCACCGTACTTGAACGTGGATCAACGACCCACTCAGGATGAAATGGTCACAAGCACATGCTTTTGTTCCTGCTCCGCATAAATTTAACTTTGAAAACTGGGCAGATGAGTTTCAGCCTACCGAATTCCACAAGTGTTCTACAAAATAATAACATTATAATCGAAATAATACTAGCCAAAAGTGTGGATTGTTTTGGCGGTGGAAAGGAGCAGTAACAGCTGTAGTGTGATACCGTTGTACTAGGTAGCTCAGGGCCAGTGTGAAAGGGAGTGTCTGGTTGCACCTAAGAGCCTACCAGCAATTTCGAACCGACTGAAATGACGCTTAGGCTGGGATCGAAAAAAATCAAGCAGTCTGTGTCCTAGTGATACTTTTAAGGCATATGTACCACGTATGAGCACTTTGCTTTGGTCGATTTAAATGGAGAGCAAATGCTCGCTTGCGTATAAAATACGTCTGTCAGGAAGGCAAACAACATAAAGCAAGTCGGCCAGTCCTAAATAAAGACCTGACTAACATTGTGTTCGGCGCATCCATCCTAAAAGATAAGTAGGGGATTTATGTCTGGTTAATGGAGTTTCATTACGCCGTGGCTCAGGCATCCAATCATTACAGGCCCTACATGGATTAGACGGGAAGCGCACTGCTTACGTTGCTCGGAAGGATAATTTGGCCGTGAGAGGTGGTCCGGGTTTGTGCTGGCTACATGCTTTAGTATAACTCTGAATTATTACCTCTTTGATATAAATATAGAATACTCGATATTTTGCAGTAATGAGGCACTCGACCGGAGTTAGCAAAATATCGGTGATAAAATGAAGTCGAAAATTTACCAAGTGACGTTAGCATATATAACGGTGCTACACTATGTGGTAATATACCAAAATCAGTCAGGTGCAGACGCTAAACCGCCTGAAACCCATGAGAAGTAGTGTGGAAGCTAAACTTCAAGCTCTTGCGCGGTGCTTAAACAAAATCTAGAGGTTGGTTAACTCTGTGTCAATTGGTTCAATTTATTAATAAACAATTTTCAGCTTTAATTTTTGCACAGTTGACCTAATCGCACGTAATGAATCTCCATACAGTCAGGACGAGTGTTCAGGTGAATCCAGTGACTGTCCCATCAAATCTTGTAGTGAATGGTTGGAACCGCCTGCCGGGGAAGTTCTGATGCACCGACATAGGAAAGATTCAAACGGCTGTTTGAATGCCATCTGCTGAATACCGCAGGGCTCTGTTGCTCCTACTGCCACGGCGACGATCCACAGAGGAATACCGCTTCGCAGCCAGTTGTGTCAAACCTGCACTGCATCGGAATCCGCGGAGCTGACAAGGGTCTCCTCTCCAGCTCTCTACACATCAATAAACCAATGACAGGACAGATCCAGAGACGAATTGGTCAAGCCAATGGGACCTACCTCTAAATGCCAACAAATGTCAACTATTGACTAGTAGTGGTAGCGGAATTGCAGTTCAGTCTTCTGTGGGATCTCTATCATTGCAGTGTACTGACGGAACCCGTGATCTAGGTGTAATTATAGCGAACAATTTTAAGCCTTCGGCACAGTGTCGCCATGCTGCCAATAAAGCACGACACGAGTTATTTCGTCTTAGGAGGGCGCTGAGTAACACTAAAGCAGAAGTATTCTTGCCCTTATATAAAGCAGTGGTCAGGCCACATCTGGAGTATTGTGTTCAGGCCTGGTCACCGTACCTCCGGAGTGACATCATTTGTATAGAAAAGATTCCGAAACTTGCGAGCAGGATGATTGAAGATCAACGAGGGAAGTCTTACGAAGATCGTCTAAGTAGCTTAGGATTATTTTCCTTGGAACGGCGTAGGTTGAGAGGGGATTTGATAGAGACGTTTACGATCATTAAGGGACTTAGTGGTATTAGTTCCACCCATCTGTTTGAGTTGGCTACGTCAGACCATCTGCGCGGACGTCGTCTGAAGCTTAAACACCATAGAGCTCGTTTGGACATCAGGGCAAAGTTTTTTACGAACCGAGTAGTTAACTACTGGAATAAACTTCCTTCTGATTTAGTGGAGGCTGAGACCGTGGTAGCCTGCAAAAGGAGCTCAGACAATTGTTGGTCCATCCTTTTTCCAGAGCTATTGTAGTTGTACTGGTATATATAGTGTATTTTGATGCTGGCATATGAAAATGCAGAGATTGCTTTTGTTCTTGCTTCATTCCATTGCAGAAGCAAGAAGAGACAATCCAACGTCGAAGTGCCGGGGGCCGCTTCACTTACCGGCACAAGAACTGGACGCTCGTTAGACGGAAGCCTCTATCGTCATCTGACCTGACCTGACCTGACGAAAAATATTTGTTTAACTGACTTTAACTTAAAATGATATTCTTTTATATCTGTTTAAGATACTTTAAAACATATCGTTATTTAGGCTTTGGGTATACTTGATGCTGCTTGATGTTTTAGTACGCAAAGTACTTGAATTTGACCTTAAGATGACCTAGAGGTTGGATAAAGTCCGCACTTTTGGTATGGAGACCGTCCTATCCGCCACTGGCGCGATTTTGAATGCTGGCTGTTGTTCATTAGGACAACCGGTATCTACGTTATCAAAAAGTAAGGGTTTTATTGGGTAAACTTCTTGCACAACGTATTTCTAAAGAGGTCATTACCTCTTCCAAAACTGATATGTACCGTTCCCAATTTTCATAGTTGAATTAAAGTGGAAAAGTTGAAATATAACGGTAAGTGATTTGTTAAAAAGAATACGGGATATAGAAAATGGTTTAAGGAAGTCCGGGGTATGTATTTCAACAAGCATCTTTTATTATTATTAAACATTACTATAGGTTTAATTGCTTGAAATTTATCTCCTACTGCGTACAACCGTGTGTACCGGAATCCCGCTGCCGAAAGAACGTTCTTTACTGTTGGCGGATAGGACGCTCGGTTTGGTATGGATGTGGCCGTTACTCATTTGCTCGAATTCCCCACTACTCGGAATGGAATTCCTCTGTATGCAGACGACAAGTGTCACTTTTCTACGTCCAACAGCTTTTCGGCTATTAAGCATCGCCGTGAGAATGGGGCTTCCCAATCAAACACCGTTGTCGCATCCTCTATGGCCCCGCATGACACAGGCAGACATCTACTAAGGCCACCTAAAAAAGTCTCGATTTCTTCCCCGGTACCTCGACGGTTATCCGATCTAATGTATGTGGAGCATTATGAAAATGGTGGTGGATATGCCCTACACGCTTATGCAGACGAACTGGCTCATCTCTCCAGGGCTGAACTGGATTTGTTCGCTAGAAAATACTTCAAGTCATTATTTTCTGAGCGCCGCAAGCCTGGATTCTCCGTGCCATTTTCATATTACTGTATAGGAGTGGTACACGGTGCTGCCCGGCGGATCCCGGAATTACTGCATCGTCTGTCTCAAGCATACCCGCAACTGAAGGTTGCCACGAATCCATTAGAACATAAGAGCGCTACAGAGTCAATTTCCTTGTCTATGTATGCTCAAAACGTCTATAAAACCTACACACGCGGAATTTTTCGATACGGTCCCATGCATGCTATCAGCATCGTCGGAGTGAAGGGTGAGGAACATGGGTGTTTCTCTCGGGAACTCATTGAAATGATTGATAAAGACCCTTTCCTTCACTTAGTTACTCCATGGGGAAAATTATCTAGTCTGGAAAATATGGATCCCCATGACAGTAATGACGGACCCATTATCTGGGCATGTCATGGAGAGCAGTCCGTTCCACTAAGTAACTCATTAAACAAAAATCGAAAAAGGTGAGCGATGTATAAAGTGTTGACAATTGTGGTTGTCATGAACGTGCTATCGGTTTCCTATTACCACTTATTTTGGAGGTTATGTACTCAGCTTGTGTCAGGCCGCACTTCACCATACACTAATCTCCATCCAAGTATTTTTCATACCATCAAAATTGTTCTGATCGTCTTTATCGGCTTAACCACGGCTGGCATGGAACGATGTTTTTTCTGCCAACTGCACTACTTACGTAGGCATGTGATGAACTCAGTTACCATTACGTGTAGCCATGCCAACGATAATCGGTGAACATAAAGCGAAAGTACATTTGTATACGGACAAAAGTTACGTAGAAAGGAGAGTGCTGAAAGAGCATAACAACAACAGCAGTACACCAGCCATTTGAACTAATGCTTTGCTGCCATACAACCATGATGACCTATGAAATAAAGAAGGGGGACTTACCTGAAAACCTTAATGCCGTAAGCAAACATTCAGGGTCAAGGCGCCTACACCTTGTGTAGGCAACATACCGTCACAAATACCTGGCTATCGTGCAAAGGTAAGGCGGCATCGGCGAGTCGGCTTCTTTGCAACTTTCACTGCCACGCGTCATAATCAGCCATTACTCCGCAGATAATTCAGCACCAAACACGCTTTAAACAGGCAATCCGATTAGGAGACGGCAGCAAACGCGCCACTGGTGTCGGTTGCGAACAGTGTCCTGTAAAGTCTCAAGCCAAGCACAAGGCGAGACGGACCAACGGCACCAAGTTTGGTCGTCAGTGACTGTTTCCCGCTGCCAAGTCAACTTCTGTCCACCTCGAGCCTTGTGCCGCCCTACATCTGGCAGACTAAACAAGGCCCTCCTAGGTAAGCGGTGACCAGGCATGCGTAGCACGTGCCCGAGCCAACGCAACTTATTCAGTGCTATCTGTTGTTCTAGGAGGCTAGCATGATTATCACTACCTAGTACTCGCCTACGAACATCATCGTTGCGGACAAGCTGGTGCCATCCGACTCCAGCAATGCTTCGCAGACAACGATGATCAGACTTGAGGACGCCTCAGATCTTCAGACCGGAAGGGCCAAGTTTCGCTACCATACAGCAGAACGGCCCTCACTGTGGTCTTGTATACACGGCCTTTCAGACGGAAGGAAACTCCCTTCTGTCGCCATAGGTGTTGCAGGTTCAAGAAGGCAGCTCTGGCCTTTGCAATGCGTGAGCTGACGTCAGTTTCTATGCACCTATTGTTGCTGATGCAGCTGCCAAGATAAGTGAATTGATCAACCACCTCGAGTTCCTCGTTAGCAAGGGTGAAGGGGTCATCAAGTGGCTGGTGGTCCTGCAGCAACACTGCACTTTGTAGGTTCGAAGTGCATACCAAATAATGGAACAACTCTAGACAGGCTATTCAGGGTTGATTGTGTCGCCGCAACATTGTTGAAAAGCAAGACGATATCGTCCGCATACTCAAGATCAACTATCTTTCATCAGGCAGCACTTTAACGCCTACATCGTGAGATTCCGCAAGGAACACTCCATGATAGAATCCACGACGAAATGGAACAAGGACAGGAAACTCGGGCAACCCTAACGAACGCCACTTGTGGTCGGAAAGCTATCCGATAGGCCACCGTACACCCTGACGAGGCCTGTAGTCTTCGAGTATAGAGCATGTAGGATGTTCACATATTTCGTGGGAACACCATTCCGCGCAAGTATTTCGTACAGAATCGATCGATCGACTGAATCGAACGCACTCTTGAAATCGAAGAACACAGCTGTTGTCGGTCTGCGGTATGCGTGGCGCTGCTCTAGCACCTACCGCAAAGTGAATATATGGTCTATACAGCCATGTCCTGGGCGCAAACCGGAGTGCTCCTCCCCAATCCGAGGTTCTCGTTCCACAGTGGGCGGACGAACGGGAATCGAGGCCAGTAATTTTGTCACAATTGGCGTCAGACTAATACCCACGTGGTTAGAACAGTCTGTGCGACTTCCCTTGTATATTGCCACTATGATCGATTCGCACCAATTAACCGGGACACTTCCTTTCAGATACGTTCGAATAGAGGTCAGTGCTTTGCAGGGGATCTCACCTCCATCTTTACATAGTGCCGACCTCTCGGATATCCACTAACTGGTGCGTTGACGATTAATAGTGCCACAAGCAGATGCTCCTGCGTCCTGCATAGCGGCCGAGATCTTATTCCATTGAAGCTCTGTCTCATTAGAACAGGACAGCGAAACGTTGGCATGCAGTGCTTCTTGATAGGCTTGCCTGACCGAGGGCTGAAACAGTTTCTCCGTTGCCAATCGGGGGAGACGCTTGGTGCGCCTCCCGGTAAAGTTCATGGAGAAACGACAGCATACTAAGACATGATCAGAATCGACGTAGGTACTTCAGTACGAGCGGCAATCTAGGATGGAACCACGCCACTTGTAACTTATGGCTATGTGGTCAATTTGGGTCCATCGCTGGCGAGCTACAGGAGGACGCCAAGTGGCACTTCGGCACCCACTGTGTCCAAAGGCAGTGCTACTAAGCAACAACTGTCGCTCCGCACAAACTTGCAGCAGATGCTCGCCGTTGTCAGTCCGTTTGGAGTTAAGCCCATAATCACCACCCGGCTGAGCTTCTGAAGATCTCAGACGCCCTACTTGTGCGTTCATATCCTTGCAAGTAGTATAATATCTGAACTAGTAGCATTGCGCAGTAGCGCTTTCAGTTCATAATAGAGTGTGTCCTTGACAGCATTTGAACTGCAGTCAGTGGGAGCATAAGCAGAAATCAAAAACAAACAGCGTTTCGTACTACTTCGTGAATCAACCTTAGCTGATGTCGTCAAACGGGATGCGCATAAGGGACTTCACTGGAATCTAATCAACCAATAATGGCTCAGCGTTGGAGCTTAGAATGATGCCTACACCAGATTGACCCGTGAGTGCTGCATCGGCGTCTCCGGATGCGTTCAACCAATAACGAGAGGATAAGCCGGGTGCAGTTAATTCAACAACCCCATTGGCTTCATTGATCCTAGTTTCGGACACAACACGCATCAATACCCAGTGGGTCCAAGGTGCGTACGAGTGCAGCCTGTTGATTTGTTTGTCTTAGAGTGCGGACGTTAAACATCGCCGTGGATACGGGACCGTGTGGCCTTATAAGGGACCGTTGCCATAGGCGTTTGATGGGTGTCGCGAAAAGTTGGCTGCAGATGGTTCTACTCCAGTGGCACTTCGGTTGCTGTCAATTAAACTAGGAATTCAAGAAGGAAGGTTAGTAATGGGGGTCGGGATGGGATTAAGAGAAATAGGTGGAAGAGAAAGAAGAGAGGCGCTAGCAGTAGCATGTCTCGCTTATCCGCCCTATTGTATGCAGCAGATAAGGCGACCTTTGATAATCTGCGCGACGGCCGATGCATGGTGATGTTTATGTTTGAGGAAAAAGTCATGGTTGTATCTGGGCACCCAGACTTAGACAGGAGGATGATCAGTGTCCTCAACCAAAGCCTTTGGCTCAAAAGCCTGTCCGCAAGGCGGCGGAGTGGTGGCAATGATTTAGTTTTACAGAAATGGACGCCATCCCATTTTAAACCCCCAATTTGGATTACTAGGAGACTGAGTTTGTCTGACCTCTCACTATTGACCAACCTGGTAGGAGTAGCTTTCAAGGTGCCCGGAGACACCACCCATTATAGATCAATGGGTCAAGGAGGTACGCAAAGCGTCGCACCATCTTAATGTCCAGTCTCGTTACGACGGAAATGGAGCCACATTAGACCTGTCAAGCGAAATTGACGAACGAACTTAAAAGTGTTATTTAGTTTACCAATCCACCGTGTTCGGTTGGGTTCGTAACTGTTGATGTAGCCTATCCACTGCCTCCCAACCACGAACACCGCGTGCATCAGCCCGACCTTGTCAATTAGTCCACCTGTTTTTTCGCTACGTCGAAACTTCATAGAATCAGACATAGTGTTCAAAAATACTAACTGCGGAGACCGGCAACCTGCAGGCACCCGCGAACCATGGCTTAATCAATCTAAACGATCCAGGCTCAAGATGCGATCCAAGATGGCATCAGCTGTCTTGTTGAGCACTGATTGACGGACCCTAGTATTGGTCACTCTGCAGTCCAGCTGAATACGAGTTATTCCGCGCATGCAATGGTTCAAGTTACGTTCAGAGTCAACATGCGGCCACCGCGTCTCCTGTCCATACAGCGACAAGTCACAGTCCAAATGCGCACGCTTTTAAATGACGAACATAACTCATGACATTCCCATAGCCGATTCCTCTTTTACGATGTTGCACTAGCGCTGCGATTCCTAAGACGTTTCAGCACCGATGGCACAGCTACCGAGGTAAACGGATCGCTCAGCCACTTGCATTGAGTACGTGGGAAGTAGGGGTGGGCGTCCTCGCGGTATACTCAGCCCGCGCGCGACTGGTGGTGGTCGCGCGGCAGCGAAGCGCCGTTACGGCGTATAAGCTGACACCTATGTAAACAACTAGCATGTCAGATGGCTGTGCAGTACCAATTTGCATTTTGATGTTCCGTAAGACATGCCGAGGTGTACACCTTTGCTTTTGTTTACCCAGAAACCCGTGATTTGCAAATGGAATTGGTCCTGGTGAAGTTGTCATTCGTGTACTCTGCTCATCAGAAGATCCAGGAAATAGTTATTCCTGACCATTTTGACCACTGTATTAGAGAGAAAAATGGGCCTTACACTATCTCTTCTGCACCTTTTATTGCTGAATATTATTAAGAGCCCTTTGTAGACTTGTACATGGTTTCAGGAGAGATGAGTTCTCTTTGCCTGTCATGATATCTCAATATACGGGAACGATCGACTGAATGGAACCAACGGAGCCAAACATGGGTCACATGTTCGAGCCGGCGGAGGCTGTTCTAGCTAGGAAGTCTGTTAGGAAGCACGAAATGAATGAGTTCAGTCCTACTCATCCGGTCTTGTCAGTTATCTATGTTCAAACTCTGCCAGTTTTGCA